AACTCACATCACCAAGAAAGATCATTGTTTTATTTTATTTAGTTAATAAACAAAATAATTAACAAGGATTAGTTGATAATAGGGATTATGGAGGGAGTATGATAATGGATTCCAAGCTGCGTCTTTCTAGCCAGGGCTCATTTGTTAGGCAAATATGCACTTCTTTATGTGATATGCATCAGTTGTTTTCTTAGTTTTCATTATTACTTGCAAAGCCAATTTTGTTCCAGGATCTTTGTTGAGGAATTAATACCTTATGAATGTTCTGGACAAATACAAAAAGGTTCAAGAATAGTTACTTGCAATTTTTCAAGACCTCCAAGATGCTTCTTGTGAATGGTTTTTAGACTGAGCTTTCCTGAATAGAGAGGTTATAAAAGGTGATAATAGGTTTTACATGCCAAACTAACGGCGTGAAACACAAGCAGGGGCAAAGATGCAAGAACCAGCTATTTGCCAGCCTACAAGCTGCTATCACTCAAAATAGCCTGTCCTAATCTCTGTCTGTCCAAATAAAAATGCATTTTGTAGAGGCCTTCTTGCACCTCAGTGGGTAACACGTTTTGTGTAAGAGATGTCTCTATAATCAAGGAAATTGGGAGAAATGTTAAAAAGGACGATAGAAAACAAACTGCAGAAGAACAACTGCATTGGGAAAGGGTTGGTGTGCAAAGCTAATGCATAGCAGTAGTTTTGAACAAACTATAGGAAAAAAAACCCAAACATTATTTCCTCCCTGGGGGGGGAGGAGTTTTGGCCTTTGCTTTATCACAGGGTGTTTGAGGAAACAGGAAAGTGGGACCATGACTCTTTCTGTCCTTTCCCCTCCAGAAGATCACAATGGAGGATGAGCTCCTGGGACAAGAGGAACAGGATCTGGATTACCTGGCACCTTTTCTCATTCAAATTGGCCACAGAGAGAAAATGACCAAGAAGCAGGCCCTGCGAGTCAGAGATGACTGCCTGACTGATTTTAAGCATCGTCTCATTAATAAAGCTAACATCATCCAGGCTCGCTTTGAAAAGGTATTCCCAGCCTTGCTCCAGGATGTGTTGTTACTGGAGTCTCTTCTGTACTGGCAGGAGGGTAACACACATCTCATTGTGATGGCAGGCAAGAAACAAACCTCCTTTGATTACTTTGAGAGCCATAAACATGCCTGTATATATATTTTTTTTATTGTTAGCATGTGAGATCAAAGAACAAAATAGCTCCAGGGTGAAATTTAGTCCCCATCTCAATCAGAGCTGATTTGGTTCTCCAGTGCTTCTTGACTCTAGTGAGGCAACACATTCAGGTTTTGCTGCCTCTCACTGTTCCACATGTTTTGATTCCCCTTGTTTTCTTGTTCTGTGAGACCTCATCTCAAACTTATTGCCTCCCATGAAAATAATCCAGCTCCGATTTGTGGCTTCCTTCATCTCAGCTCCCTGAACTTTGAGTTGCGCTTTTGTGTGCCTTTGTTCCTTGCTCTCTTCTCTATTACTTTGACTTCTGGTTGCTTGCTCCCCCAACAGGCGGTGGAAGAGCTGCAGAAGAAGAACCAGTGGTTTCAGGAAAACCAGAATCGGCTCAGCACAGAGGAGGAGGAGGACTTCCTCACCCGTTACTCTGAAACCACGTTCCATATCCACATTCTAGCGCTGAGGCTCAACAGGTATTGGGAATGACTGCTTGAGTACAGTGCCCAGGGGATGTCTGCAAGTCAGCCCCCAGGAACTCAGCACTGAAGCTATTCTGTAAAATATTCTACTCGATGTCCTGCTGCAATTTTCCTCTGATATCCCCCTTCTTGTTCTAGAGAAAAGCAGACGGCACCACAGAAATACCTTGCTCTTGAAGAGAAGCTGCGCAAGGATCCTCGCCTAGCTGAGCACCTTGGTCATGCCTGATTGCTTTATTCCTTCACACCAGACACTGGAAGGCTGAAGCCTGTTAGAAGCAGTCTGAAAAAAGCGTGGAAAGGTTTTCCTACTTGCCTGCAGTAAATCTTTCATTATCGTCAGATTAATGGAGATTTTAATGAACTTGTAGCATTCCGCTCTTTTTCTTTTCCCTCTTTTGTTTTAAGGCCCATCTACAATTACATCAATTGTCTTCTCATGCAATTCCATCATGTTTGAGACTGAAGTCTGAACGAGACCTTAGCTTTAAGGTCTACTTCAGAAGTTGCTACAAATTACGCATGCTGTATTGCAGGGCTTTTCTTCCGCAAACCTGCTCCCAAGCTGCTGACATCAGGAGCAGGGTTATGTGGGAATATTGGTTCTTTTCCAACATAATAATATTTTAACAAATTTATAATTTGGTTTTATAAGTAGTCCAAGCAAAGATTTTGAACTTGTGAGTTCACAACAAATATAAAAATTCTTTGACCTCATTTAGAGCTACCTATTAACTACAAAACCCAGCAAAGACTAAGATGCAAATTGACAAACTTTGGATTTTAACATCTTATTTTTCTCTTTGAATGTCTCCATTCACCATTCACAAATATCGGCAGACAGGGTAAAAAGTCAAGAGAAATCCAAAAAGCATTCCAAATCCAAGAAATTTTAGGTAACCAAGTATTTTGGTTAATAATCTTTCCCTGAGATCCACAAATGGAAGTCAGTATGTGTGTGCCATGTATTGGTATTTATATAAGTCCTTGAACCTACTAGGAAAAAATTTCTGTCATCACCTATAGTACATTAGGCACCATGGACACCTATGGTGGTTCTACCTACGGTTCCCAACAGCTACAGTCTTCAAGGAGCAACCTCTAATGATCACCTTCAATGAAGTCTATACTGATTGCAGCTGGGGGAAGGCAGGAACTTATTTTGCTGTGATACAGCAGAATAAGGGACATTACACCTGAAATACAGCATGAACCAGAGCAGATTAAACTTCTTGGTTTATGGTAGCTCTCCATTTTAAGTGTAATAGGTACACTAAAGGGCTTTTACAGAGAAACACCCCCCCTCCCAACTGCCTATTTTATTTCAACAATCATTTTCTCTTGCTTTGTTTCTGTTACATTTTAAGAGGTGAACACAATGTTAAAACCAAAAGCCACCATTAACTCATTATGCCTAATCTGAATATCCTAGGTCATTAAAGTATACCAAATTACCCTTATAGAGAGCCCATTAATTTAGCTGTTGCTTGAAGGATGCACTCCATTTTAGGTTCAGAAATGGAGAGCAGAGAATTCAGCATCTCCTGTGGGAGACAGCTGCAGCGTTTGATACCCACCACAGCAAATCCCTGGGTCTGCCTGGGCCTCCCAGCTCCCCATTTTGGAGCTCTGAGATGTTTCATGACAGTACATTGTATTCCAAGCCATTCAACAACAGCAGCAGCCCTTTTCACACCAACACACTGACAGCTCTGCCTCCCTCTGTCAATGCTTGGCTAACTTGGTGACCTAGCACAGATAGAAACAGGCCAGGAAAGGAGAAAGCTCAGAACAGCTCACTCTTTGAGACAGAGAAGTATTCCAATAAGAGCACACTACTGAAAAGGAACATCAGGAATTTCAGGAACTAGCCAAAACAACTTCCAAATCACAAGGACCGTGAACTGCTGAAGGACTGAGGGACCTCAGGGAACTGGGGAGAAAGGAAACCCTAAGATCTCTAAACAGAAGGAAAGAAAAAAAGGAGCAAGCAAGCCTGTGGTTATGAACTCATCAGTGTTAGTTCAATACTAGAAAAGACACCAGAAAAAAATAATTAATTTAATCTTTTTACAGGCACTAGGGATGTAGCAGTTGCCAAAAAAATCAGCTAATACATCTTATCAAGGACTAGCATCAAATGAATTTTGTTTCCTTTTTTGATGGAGTAATTGGCTGCAGAGGTAGGGAGGAAAGAGTAGAAGCAGTGTGACTCCACCTCAGCCAGGCTGCGAGAGCGCCCAGCAACGCTCCGTCGGGAGGAAAATCGACCCGATGCCCCGGCGGGCCTGACTCACCAGGGCAGCAAGACCAAGAGGAGCTGGTACCAGCGTTGCCAGACAAAAAGACACAGAAAGGGGGAACCGCGGGAGCCCGGCTCCCGCGAGGGCTGCGCCCGTGACACTCGGCGAGGGGAATCCCCTCCTGGAGATACACCCGCCACAGCACAGGGGCGCAAGCGCCTCA